GTGCCTTTATATACCAGTTTCACAGGAAGTCAATTCAAACCTAATAAGCACAATTAAACTTGCCTATTTAGACAAGGAGGACAGGCTTGACAATGAATCTCAATCTCCTCCCTCTCACTCCTTCCCTCCACTCTTTTCCTCTCTTTCCTCCTCTCTTCCCTATTCTCCTCCTCCCCATCCTCCTATTCTGGCATCTTCATTGAGTAGAACTACCAGGTCAGGGAGACATGTACACTGGCACAAACAACTCAAAATTTATTGTTAAGTATCGTTTATATACTCACCAGGGGGGGGGAGTACTGTGGTATGCTCATTTTAGCAATAATTAAGTCCCTGTTACGTCACAATACACATCATATAAAAGGAAAATAATCTCTCAAGCTAATCTAAGCTAATCTACTCTCTCGACTTTCGTTCATTTGTTCTACAGTTATCTACTTATTATCTCTCTTCAGCCCCAAGGCTTCATCCATTATCGATCCTCTAGTCGGTCCACTGTCAAACTCACTCACATATGATTCTAGCAATTATATATTATTGGTTTTGTAACATTAGTGAGTTTTGTATTTCATTCTTCCTTCTCTTCCTTTTTCTTTCTCTGTCTCTTCTTTCGTAACTCTCATTCACACACCTCTCAATTATTATAATAATTCTAAGTACCATTTCAAAGTTAAGAGACATCATTTTAACACCAGTTGTTCGTTCACACAGCATTGTACAGCAAGAGGAGCAGCCACACAACCTAGTGGTTCTCACCTGCTATTATTTCTCTGTTGGAGTCTTTTCAGTTACATGGTTTGAGTGATGCGTTTGAAGATGCAGATGCTGCAGTCATGTATATTCATTCTCAAGACACAGATGGTAATATACGTATGTCATTAGTGATTGCTAAGTCTCGTATATCTCCCATAAAAAGGATTTCTATCTCACGTTTGGAGTTGTGTGCAGCACAGCTTCTCTCACAGCTACTGCAATAGCTCAAAGGTATTTGCAACTTGACACTCTCTAGCATATTTACTTGCACTGACAGCAATATAGTTAGGGTTTCCGCAAAAAAAATCAACTTTTTCAAAATTTAATTTTGACTAACTTCACATATAAAGCAACAAATATAAACTTTGTAGACCAAATTTCAACACCCAATGCTCTCTAGTTCTTGCAAAATAAAATCATGAAGTTTGTCAAAATTCCGAAAATCCAGGAAGCAGAGGGTTAAAAATTGTTGAGGTCAGAGGTAGTTCTAATAAAAGCTCGTTTGGAGTGCAGGAGCGTAGGAGATTGCAGGAGTGCTGTGGAAGTACTGAGCAAGAAGAGAGGCAAGTATTTCTTAATAATTTGTGCCTTTAACTTACTTAATACTTACTGGAGCTGGTTGTTTTTGTTGCATAAATAAATACCAAAATGGCCAACTGAACTCTTTTTATTTCAATTATTCAAGTTTCAATGCAAACAGGTTCCTCATGTTAATTTTATGACTGGGGTTAGTGGATGTGTGTGTGGCATAAGTAAAAGAATCACTAGTCACATCTAACCATTTGCATAATGACCTTATTTTTGTCGATATCAATACCAGCCCACTTTACCCAAACTGAGGCTTCCAGATTGCCATATCATACTGACTTTTTTTACATGTTAGGTGGTTGTTATGTTACTTGTTATTGTTTGGAGACATGCAGTGGATATTTTTGCTATAAATGGCATCTCAACAAGGTATGTGTTTTGTCCTCTTGTACAATATTGAGCTTTGGTCTAGGAAGTGGACCAACTTACGGTGAACTTATTGATTTATATGAGCTGTTTAAGGGAAATGCTGATGTGGCACATTTGTTGTGTTCTGAACTTGCCAGAAAATATCCTGATTTTTCAATTGGTCGGCCTTCAAGAATTCTCAATACCGTAGAAAGATTAGTAGGGCCTACATAGCCATCGTTAAGAGGGGAAGCAAAGCTGACTGGGTCACCACTAGCCTCTTATCGACGCAGAGTTTATGAACCTCGAATTAGAAATAAAGGTAAATTTGTAAAAGCAATGGCCGAGGTCACAGTACACTAATTAATTGATACCTCCTTAATTAAATTACTTTTTTATTTTAGGCCGGAACACTTGTGATTTTGCACTAGAGCTGACAGCACATGGTCTATTTCCAGAAATAATATCTTCTACTCTAGAAAAACTGCAGTTACAGGTATGAGAGGATGCCGACTTCATTTGGAAACTATCAGGCACACCTACAATTCGGTTTTATCAAAAGTTACATTTCTATCTCTTACACTGTTTAAAGCTCCCTAAAATTTTAATTGGAGGATTTTATTGTGCTGTGGACAGGAATTTTCAAGAAAAGGGGAGTAGAGCTGACAACGTATTTCGATTCGTGAATAATATTGTAGCTTCTAAAAGACCATCAGATGACTTAATGATATATAGCATCCCTACTACTAAGAGCACAAAAACAATGCTTAAGAATTGTTCCAAGAAATTAGAAGAATTGAATGAAGAATGTACTAAATTGAGAAAAAAGTGTGAAGCAAAAGGACTGGAGTTGAAAATGAAAGATAGTGCCCTACGTGATATAACTAATCAAAATCAATGCCTCAAAGAAAAGAACGAGTTATCAAAATTGAAGTTAGGTAAACTGAAAGATGTAAATGAACAATTACGGATCAAGTGTCTTGAGTATGAAGTCAATAACTTAAGTCAGTCAGAAGAATCATGTTCTGATACTGGTAGTGACACTTCTGAACCCTCTGCTGATGATGTTGAAGCAATGTTTCAAACATTATTGGTCATCATAAATACTCTCCAGAATTGAGAAAGCTTTATTATAACTTATTGGCTGATCAAATTCCAGTATCTAAAATTTCAGCTATTATTCGTACAGTTTTGAAATGTTTCAATCCTTCTATATATGTCAATAAATTGAAGCTATCAAAGAAAACATGTGCTAGTGACACGCGCAAGGCAGAAATGTGTACTATTAGCAATGCTCACAAGGCCCATGTTATTCTCAAAAACAAGGAAGGAATCCATCTAAACACTGATGGTACTACAAAACATCAGAGAAAATTAGGTGGAGTTATTGCTAATAATGTTGTTGTAAGCGTCAATGAATTACCAGATGGTAAAGCAGTTAGCATCATCAGTGATATATCAAGGGAATTTGAAAAGATAAGAAAAGTAGGTAAATTGTTGAATTTACCAAGTGCTGACTCCATTAATTGGACAATGGTCCGATCAGCTACATCTGACTCGGCTGCTACACAAAAATGCTTCCAATAGATTAGTCGAAGAAAAGAGACAGAGTGACGCAGAAAAATTTGGTTTAGCTGAGTGCACTTATGAAACATTGGATTTAGTTGAAACTTTTTGTTCCATGCACTTGGGCGTGAATTTAAGAAAAGCATTTATAAGTGGAACCTTAGAAAGTGACCAATGTGAGAGGTATCCTCAAGTTGATACATTTGTACATGAATTTTGTAAATTGTTTTCAAAGGTTGGAGTGCCTGAGTATACCTGTGGTGTTATTTCTCTGCCTGACTTTTTGCAGCTACAAGTGGATGCAACAAAAGATGAAGAGCTAAAATCCTATTATCAAGCTTGTCAAAGCATTACTCTTCATAGGCAAGTTGGAAGCAGGTACTTTATCACTGCTGCTAATGCTACAAAAATACTTTTCCTGAAGGATGCTGCTATTGAATTTCTAAAGTTCACAGGCAAAGATAAAGCAGGTAATAAATTAGAAAAGGATGTTTTTGCAAAGCTGCATGATTCAGTTGAACTGGCCTACCTAAAAGTAGACGGCCTCATGTATTACCATGCATGTGTATGGTGATCTCTACATGCTTTCAAAGTCAACTGAATTTCTATTGTCTGTTTTGTCGATGAATCAGCACTATCTGGAATTATATGAATTCTTATCTTTTATTGAAACCAATCCTAGTACTGTGTTTGATCAAGGTTATTCTGTTTTTTATTCCGAGAAACGAATATACAGTTCTGATGTCAACTTAAATCATCATCTACAATCAAAAATAGTCTATCAGAAGTTGTTTGACAACAGCAATTCAGCAGAAAGCTTATTGAATACATTGCTTGTTAAAGGAGCTAGTAAAATGAAAGAAAAGTTATCTACTTATGCTGCAGATCAGCTTCCAGGTGGCTGCTACTATGAGCCCAAAGAAGAGGTACGGAGTATTTTATGTGAGATAAAGCCAAGTAACGATGCTTGTGAATCAGTATTAGGGTTAAATGACTATCTGACCACTGCCATTCCAAATTTGCATCAATTGGCACGCTTTAATATGATTCAAATGAAAAAGAATAAACACTTAAATGGCTTTCAACTCTCTCAAGGGATGAGAGAAGCTTCAATTATTGACCTGGCAGTAAAACAAAAGCGACTTGTAAGTCAAGAGTATCGAGATTCTGAGAAAACAAGAGCTCAACAGCGCCAGCATAAAATGCAAATGGAAAATGCCGAGAGTAGCATTGGAAAAGAAATTGCATAATGAAAAGGAAAGATTATCAGAATGTCATCTCATTACTTCGTCAACTGAACAAAAGAAAGAGCTACTGACAATAGAAAAAGAAAGCTCCAAAAATACGAAAAAGAAGAAGGTGGAGCGGAGCTACTTAAGACACAAATGAATATTAGAAAGAAGGTTCTATTGGAACATATACATATTGTATTTAGTAGGAAAGGCAAAGAGAGGCCACTAAATGATGTCATAAAGGAGTTGTGATTTTATAGACTTGTGTGTTCTTCCTGTAGAGTGTGATTCTTTTATAAGCAATCCAAATTTGTTAATTGGTGGACAGGTTAATCACAGGTTTATGGAAAGTGATAAATTTACTTGGTACAAAGGTGACATAATAGACTATTCACAAGAGGAAAAGGTTCATTGTCTTGTATATGAAAGAGAATCTGAATGTTATTACTTTGATGTGATTGTTGACTTATTACTAGCAGATTTAAGTGTATTGTAATATTTAAACTTATATTACACTGAACCAAGTAGTGAATCAATTTATTCAATAAGAATACAATTTAAATTTGATGATAATAATTATTTTGAAGTTTCACTTAGAATTATTATCATTATGTCCTGATAATTGTATTGAAGCCATGTGTGAATAAGATGCTTCTACTTCATGCTTCACTGCCCTAAACTCTTTCGTCAGTTTTTCGATCAGTTCCATGAAATGTTTTACTTCTTCACGCAGGGCATTAAACTCAGACAATGACACTGCAAATTAAGTGAGAATCTGACTATACTGGAGTATAACATCTTACCTGTTGAATTCACTGATTTATTGGACATTATATAAATAGCAACTGCATTTATAATTAGCAACTGTATCAATAATTAGAATAACTGAATAAGATGACAACATGCATGAACAAATGAAGTGATAATAATTAGAAGGTTAAATATGCAGACAAAAATGGTTCCATGCATAATATCAGATTTTAGTCATTTGAATAAAGTAAGAACAGAAACAAGTTCACTTTAAATACAATACACTACAACCCCCCAATATTGGCAAAAATAATAATAATAATAATAATAAACCATTTAAACATTAATATTAAAAAATAAGGTCATTATGCAAATGGTTAGACGTGACTAGTGATCCTTTTACTTATGCCACACACACATCCACCAACCACAGTCATAAAATCAACATGAGGAACCTGTTTGCATTGAAACTTGAATAATTAAAATAAAAAGAGTTTGATTGGCTATTTTGGTATTTATTTGTGCAACAAAAACAACCAGCTCAAGTAAGTATTAAGTAAGTTAAAGGCACAAATTATTAAGAAATACTTGCCTCTCTTCTTGCTCAGTACTTCCGCAGCACTCCTGCAATCTCCTATGCTCCTGCACTCCAAACAAGCTTTAATTAGAACTACCTCTGACCTCAACAATTTTTAACCCTCTGCTTCCTGGATTATTGGAATTTTGACAAACTTCATGATTTTATTTTGCAAGAACTAGAGAGCATTAGGTGTTGAAATTTGGTCTACAAAGTTTATATTTGTTGCTTTGTATGTGAAGTTAGTCAGAATAATTTTTTTAAAAGTTGATTTTTTCTGCGGAAACCCTAATACAGTCCTAAACTGAATGGATGCCTCTGATTGATAAAGCCAAAGAATGAATGGCCTTACGATTCCATTCCAAGTATGGAAACCTTAGAAGAAGGGAGAGTCACATCACACTTTACTGGTTTAGTTAGTGAAATTTGTATTGCAAAGCGGCATCGGATTCATTATTCTCAAATAAATCATTTTATCTTAGAGATGAATTTTTTATTGTGTAATTGTGATCTGCCCAATGAAATTTTCATAATACCTTTGCATCCATTCATGGATAAACACAACATCTTGAGAGTAGGAGGCAGACTGGCTAACTCTAAGCTACAATTTTCTCAGAAACATCCCATTATCTTACATGAGAAGCACTTAATTACTCAATTGCTTGTTCATACTGAACATATTATTCTATTACATGCAGGCCTTACCCTACTAAAGGCATCACTCAGCTGTGATTATCATACCATTGGCTTGCATAGAGCAGCTCATTCTGTAACACGCCAGTGTGTCATATGTAGGAGGCATGCAATCTGCAAAAGCAGAATGTCAGTTTATGAATCAGCTCCCTCTAGAGAGGATAAGTCCTGGCCTCATCTTTGAGAATGTTGGCTTCGAATATGCTGGTCCATATTCATAAAGTATGGTCATGTGAAAAGACCTACAATAGTATAGGCATATTTTGCCGTTTTTGTTTCTATGAGTGTAAAGGCAGTTCATTTAGAACTTGTTAGAGATCTAACTAGTGAGGCCTTATTGCCTGTTTATGCCACTTTGTTGCTCAGCTTGGTTGCCCCAATCAGATTTGAAGTGACCACAGCAGCAACTCTGTTGGTGCCAAAAGAGAGATTAATGAATTTTATAATTTTCTATATCTAACAGTATTGTACAATGTAATGTGTCTCAGTTCTATCATAGTAGGGAGATTGAATGGAAGGTTATCCATGAAAGAGAACCTAATTTTTGTGGGCAATGGGAAGCTACTGTAAAAAGTATAAAGACTCATACAAAGAAAGTAGCAACTATGAAGAAATGAGCACTATACTCACCTACATAGAGGCATGCCTGATTAGCGGCCCGTTAACTAGTATATCTTCTAGTGATAGTGAGGGCATTGAAGTACTCATTGCTGGTCATTTCCTGATAGGACGTCCACTCCTAGTCTTCCCTGATCCTTCATTATCTGATAATCATTCTATCACTCTTTTGCATCGTTGGCAATTGTTTCAAGCTATCGTTCGACACTGCTGGAATAGATGGTCATCAGAGTATTTAGTAAATCTAATTTGTATAATAGTGAGTGGGCGTATCAAAGGCACCGCCTGTGGTTACAAATGTGATGTAACACAGCTTTCATTTGTAACACTCCTTGTGGTTTTATTTGTATCCCTGTGGGTTGACAGCAAAAATCTCTTAAAATAAAATATAAGAAACAACATTATTGTACAGGTATTATAAGCTGAAAGTCAACTGTCCATAAAGCTTGCAATAAAGTCTGGCCTAGGTCCAGTGGCCCACGGAACGGACAGTAGGTACAAAGTCAGAACAATTGTGAGTCTCCGGAGTGCAGATCAATTCACAGACCAATAATCCATGCAGGTAGAGTTTCCCTGCTTTTCTTCCGCGTTGAAATCAATGGTTGACTAAGCCTCAATAATAAATATAGGTGGCCGGGAAAGGTAAGATCGATACATGGCCTGTCAGCAAGCGCAGGATCTCTGTTCTGGACAACTTCTAGACATTATAGCCTGAAAATAGTAAGATTATGTCAACCTAAAGCCTGAATCAGTTGGTAAAAGTACCTTTTTGTGAGCCTCCTGTCCTCCATTGCTACCATTTTACCACAAGGTGTGGTGCTACTGAGCATGCGCATTGGCGCGCGCCTTTGATACGCCCACTCATTACTGCACAAATATGTTGATAACACCCCCGCTGCGGGATACATTGCATTTGTATGACCTCGCCCTCGGGCCTGCGGCCCTCGGACTCGGTCATACAAATGCAATGTATCCCTAGCGGGGGTGTTATAACGTTTACTTGTTTAATAAGTTGAGGTGTCCCACGCGTAATTTGAAAACAGGAGACATAGTACTAGTGACAGAGGAGAATATGGCCCTTATTAATTGGCCACTTTCTCGTGTCATAAAGGTGCATACAGGCAATGATGAGCGAGTGAGCGTAGCCGATGTTAAGACATTGAAGGGAGAGTATTGGCATTCAGTTACGAAGATTGTCCTGTTGCTACAAACAGAAGAGACAGACGATCATAACTGAAGCTGTGCTATTATTAACTGATGAATTATTAAATAACTTAAATACATGTATGATACATTCACCACTGTCTTCTCTCAAAGCTTCTTTCTATTGTTTCATTTTTCTGAGAGTTTATACAACTAATTGGTTTATTCTATTTAATACTTATCATTATTTAAGACCGTTTGGTCTTTGTCCGGCGGTATGTATGGGTTGTAATTAATTATATCTAATTTTTTGCTTTTTGTCTTTAATTGCATTACTGTGAAACATAAGAAAAACAATTTTTCAAAATATCACCCTCAATGTTTCTCCTCCTTCCATCTGAGCATTGGCTTGAACAGAATCTCAACCTCCATTTAGCCAACTTGATGAAAATGGTAATAATGCTCCTCACTCCCTATTGCTCGTAATGAAGTACCTTACTTCCTCTCAGTAGTTTTGTTGCATTGTAGAGGATTTGCTACTGCAGGTCCATATCTTTAATATCTGCCCTGAAATTATGATATTCTAATTTTGGTTGAGCACTGGCTTTCGCCATTTGAACTTTATAAGTTAAATGAAGTGATATCTAGATCTTAAGGTTTTGGCTGTTCTGATGGTAGACTTGATGAGATGAGTCAGCTGACTACAGGATGTGGAGGTGTTGCCATACTTTGGTGGGATAATCTTTCTTTTTCACCATTGACCACAATTTTCTGAGTTAGAATTGTTGGGTTCAGTGTTCTCTAGATGGAAGCTCCTTATTCATTATAAGAGGAGTATATCTGCCCTCTTCTGATCAATCTGGGAGTGAGTACTTGGATTACATTAATCTGGAAGCCACTACTTTAGCTTGGCAATCTCTTGGACCTGTCATTATTGTGGGGATTTTTATGCACATCTGGACTACTGTGGGAGCAATGACTCAATTAATGGTTCTGGTTGTGTATTATTTCATATGGTTTGTCACTGTTATCTACTTGTGGCCTCTGAAGCAGTGTAGGCAAGTGGTCAAATTTATACCTTTGCTAATAATAAGCATGAAACCACTGTCAATTACTGTTTAGTCGATAGTATTTTTGCTTATTGTATAGACAGTTGTAGTATTTTACATCAACAGCCTCTGAATGTTTCAGATAATCAGCCTGTTGCTATATCTTTTAGTTCTAAAATGAATATTTCTACGTCCTCCTCTACATCCTTGGTGAAACTGAATTTTTGCAGAGTTGTTTGGATGGTTCTGTTAACAATTAGGTAGCGATTATTTTTTTGTCCGGTCACGGACACCGCTTATTTTTGGCTATTTGTCCGGAGCCTCACGTGAGCTGCATTTTTAACCCTCTTGTTGAAATAAAATGGCAGTTGCTAGTGATTCTTTTTCAGTTGGTGATTTGTTCACTTCTTTTGATGAGCTACAGCAGTCTGTAGAAAAGTACCAGAAAAAGGGGAGTTTACAATTTTATATTAGAGACAGTAGATCTATGGAAGCTGCTTTGAAAAGAAACACAAAGAAGCAACTAAAGCCAGATTTAAAGTATGCTGAGATTACGTACTGTTGCATTTATGGAGGAAAGAAGTATAAGGCTACTACTAAAGGCAAAAGACCACACCAATTGTATGTTATATCAGTTGTTGTACCTTTGCTAATAAACATGCTATTTTTAGTACATTTAAAAGAGCTGTCCTGTGAACTTATATTAAGAGCATCATCAAATTGACAATGTCTTGCTATTACATCATTTAATGCTAACCACAATCGTGAGATATTATCGGCATAATTTGATCACACATGTAATAGTTGTTAAGGAAATGTATGTAGTAGTTAGGTTTTTCTCACCTTCCTTGACAACGTAGATTGAATGAAACTCAGAAAGAAGCAAAAACTATGCTTCAGTCAAAGGTTAACAAAAAGTTGCTGCAACAACATTTGACATCGGAATCTGGATGTGTTGTCATTCTTAAAGATATACACAATTCTGCGGTTAATGATTCACATAAAACCAACTCTAATGATTTAGTACTTGCTGTTGCTGAGCTTCAAAAG